TTTTTGCAATCCGCTACTTTTCCAGATTATACTTAAGCGCGGTTTGAATTAGGCATTTTTGTAGAGCATTCAATCCTGCATAAAACTGGGTATTATAATAGAGAAGAACTAAAAACTATCAAAAGTTACAGATGTTTTCATAAGTGCTACTTTCCACGTAAAACAGTGTTTGTGAAAAAATCGAATTTTGGAAATTCGCCTGTTCAAATGTAGCCGATTTTGAGCCAACTTGGCGATCTATAAAAAGATGAATAGAGATGCATTTTGTAGAGAAAATTTTTTTCTACAAACTACCATATGAACAGACGTTTTATGTGTTCAATTAACTAAGCTTTAAGCAAAATACAAAATTAGCAGAAATAGGATTTTGTACTAATTACATTTTCGACTAATTCAAGTATTTGCTCAGAGTGAGTCAATCGTAGGTTAGAAAAAATTTCCAAGTATATATTCTGAAAGAGCATAAAATTCCGATTCCTACTAACTACTTTTGATCTTCACTAGTTGTTTTCAAGCGGTCAAAAAGTGAATGAACATTTTGTGCAAAAACCTTTTTACACACAGGTTATGTTGGACTTGAACTGATTTCAATCGAAGAAGATTTATTTCAAGAAAATAGCTGACTTTTGTCAAAAATATACTAAAAACTTTCCGAACATGATTTAATCAGTTCAGTTATTTTCTTGAAATAAATTTCTTCTAATCTACCTAAGATCGATGCATTGTTGATCATCGTCACTACTGCATCAATATACATGAATAACATTCATCGAGTGACAACATACGATGAATCATTACGACAGAAGGAAAAGTTACTACGAATTTTGTATTTCGCACGTACTTTGATAACAAAATTAATGACAACATAATAAATTCGATTGTTAATGAATATATATTATACGATTCTAGGCTAAGTATTCAATCTCAAATAATAGATTATTACCATATATCGTAATGCATTTCGACGAAAAAATGCTTTGCATGATTCACAAGTGATTTGATCAAAATTATAACCAAATGCTGGTGCACCACAAACACCACATATCAGACTCGGTTGTTGAGATTCTTCTGTTGTATTATTAGTTGGTAATGTTTGTGAGTATTTATGATCGTTCTGAATAAAAAAATTAAGTGAATATAATTTGTAAAATGTTTACCTCAGATGATAATAATAATATTTCTGTATTTTCATTTTTCATTGGTAAAACAAAATTAAAAGCTGAAGAAAATAGATCATCAAAATCAAACGATTGATTGACTGAAATATTATTCCAATATTCATTATTCAATATGGTATTCGTCATTGTTGTCATTATTTAAAATGTTAATTTTTTTTGTTGTCATAAAACAAATCTAATATGTCGTTCGGTATATAAATGATGATGATAATACTTTTTGAATGTATACCAATCTTTTTTATTCGCGTTGTTCTATATAAAATTCAAAAACTAGAAATAAAAAATACCTTTTCTTTTATTTTGATACATGACCGAAAATTGCGATATTAGATGTTGAAATAAACGATTGGATGAATACATTAAGTGACTGAGAAAAAACAAGAAACTATATGAATCAGATATTCATTATTTCCTTTCTTTTATCCTGTCACATAACATACTTCAATAGTCTTACATAAAACGTAAATACTTATTTCTGTTTTTTTCTTCTTTATTTCTTATTGGTCTGCTTGTAGATGTGACACGTACTTACTAATGTTTTGCTTTCTTTTTCTAATTATACTTATAAATAGATGAATTTGCTTTTATTGAAAAAGATGTACTAGCACTTGTAATTCATGAAGTTGTGTATTACTGTAGAACAATTTTTAACTTTGTGTTTTCATCATTAAGAACACACTAAAAGTACGTGTTCGAAAAGAAACTGTTTATTACTTTAATAAAATGTCATGGAACATTTGCGTGGTCTGTCAATAAGTGTATAAAATATTAATTTTTCTTTCATAAAAATGAACGCTTATAGTAAATTGCAGACGTTAATGTCGATTCATTGTATGTAATAGATGTGATTTATTTGTTTAAATATTGATAAGACGTATTTGCAAAGTACGATAAAATCTACAATCATATTTCGATTATCTATTGTGTAGTATAGGTATTTAAGCTAAATTTGGCATCGAATATATTACATAAACAGTTGAATTATGTTGTTTATAGTGACTATATATGAGTAAATTGCAACTTTTTGGCACAGTTGACTCGAAAAAATAAAAGTGAAGCGAAACAACTCTTGAGTAGCGTATTTCATTGTATCCTATGTGTGTGTTAAGGTTATTAAGAGAAACCCAGGTTATACTGTATAATTTCTGCTTAATTCAATAATAAATTGATTTTACTCATTGAAAAATGCAAGTCATTTTTCAGCTCTATATAAATGATAGAGAGTCAGAAAAAGACTAGAATATGCTTGACAGTTGCTTGCCGCATTGTATTCATTTAAATTATATTTGAAGAAAAACATTTTTGGATGAGTCGTACTGAAAATATCTGCAAAAAAATATCGCTCTACATGTTTTGCGAAAAAATCTCACTCTCCTTTTTTTTTTGTATAATGTAAATTTCTCCTGAACAGAAAATAATTAAGGGCTAAAATTTTTATTTCTAATAGAACTTTTTCTTCCACATCTACCGTGAAAATTTAAGTCAAATCGAATGACTTGTTAAAAAGTTATAGTACAGCCAATTTTCAAATCGTCACTCTACAAAGTGAGTATAATGACCTTTTTTCAGAAAGTCTTGTTATTTTTATCTACGAACAAAGCTGATAACACAGTTTTTTCTAATCATTTTGTTACTCAAAGAGTTGTTCTTCTTTTCGTATAGTCTGCGCATCACCGACTTTATCACTGACAGAACTGTAATCATGTTTCCGTTACTCCACACAAAAATACAAAGTGTCTGTCAAATAATGTGAGCGTTAGACGAAGGAGAGAACAAAATATAAAATCTAAATCGATAATATATTTCGATAGAGCATCGAACGCTGTACAAAACAGCTTATTTACATACTTTTTCTCTCGCGTTTCTATAGCCGAAATATTTCTTTTTCTTCTCACATGTCAGCAAAAACTAACATTTTTTTTGTCATAAGTCTCTCATAACTCAGCGACGGTATGAGCTACAGAGATAAAATTTTGTGGGGCATACGAGGACCACTAAGATGTAAAAAAATTGTCCGAATCGGTTCAGAGAAACAGAAGTTATTAGCCAAATATAGTTACAACGCAATGGTACCAAAAAGTTGCAATTCACTCATATATTAAATTAAGCCCCCCCCCCCCCCCCTCATAGAATGTCAGTTTTCGTTGGAATGGTCAAAGCTGAGATAAATACATGGAAAGATAGCCCGTCATCTGCTCTTTCATAAACGATAATTTGTTTTTCTCGTTAACTCATTTTTCCCAAAAATTTTCAAGATTTCCGTCAACCCCTATTCGAAAAACCAGCTGTTTTTTGAAGAATCAAAAAATGTTTTTCGTTTTTTCTCAGTTTCCGCTTTCTCAAAAGCGCATTCCAAATTTCTCGTTCCTGGTTCGTTCAATGCATTAATATTTTTTTGTTTGTTTAAAAGATCGTCTCAAGGCACAGGGCATGATGGGGCCATTTTTTTTAATTAAGCCTTTGTTTGGTCAATATACAGCCAGTTATATGATTTGGTTACCATTTTTTGACACTTTTTTCAGTAATTGAACTTGTGATCTCTTTTTTGCGCTTAAAAAGGGACTATTTC